TACTCATATTGAAAACAGCCTAATACATGGTTTACTTATACACAACCCAAATATGGCCAATCGGATGGCTCACCGACAACACCGAAACGTCGGTCCGTTTACTGCGGGTCTTCTTCAAGGTAGGAGAATGTGTAGTATTACTGAATTTTAAAATTTATTCGTTGATTCCACTTGTACTCGAGGGTATGAATTACCAAGAATGATCATGGTAATACTATATCCAAGAACAATTTTACGGATTTATTATAAATGAATATGAATATTACGAACTATTAGGACAAATTTTTATTATGAATTAATAAACATTGTTCCGTCGATGCTAAATCATAACTCTCGCTGTGCGCTATGTCATAAATGATGAAAAACCATCGCTGAGGAACGACGCAAAGTAGTGAAAGCGGCAAAATAACTACTATGCAACCACAGCTTAAACATCATTGCAAAATTGCAACGTAGATGCATATATGCATAAAAACATATTTGCAACGTTCCTGATTTCAATTGGAATCAGATGCCGTATATCTTCTTTTGCACTTCTAGCCTCACGGAAATCAATGGGCTGATGCACTGCAGATAGTTCTCAATCGCAGACAAGCTGCTACTACTGGTTTCAAATGCTGTTCAACTTTCTCCTTAAGCGCAGTCTCCTACTGTATTATTCACCGCGCTTTGCTAGAAATGCTACTGATAATCTGCTTGGCTACGTTATTCACACAAGCTTCAAACACTTTAACCATCGTATCTCTTTTATTTATCGTACGTTCCAATCCAACTCTTTCCTCATATTTATTTAGATTTTATTTTTTTTTCAGTTTCCACTACCAGATCATCTCCATTACCTGTGGTATGATATTCAATTGGTCTTGCTATCCATTCCTGTGAACAACGTATAATCGTTGGAAAAAATGAAGTTTCATGTAGTAATATGTCTATTCTATTGCAAATGTTACTTGCCCGACAAACCTATTTAACTGGTCACAAACAGAATGTCAACATTTTTATATCTGTCATATCTGCGATCTTGCTTGAGCAAACCTGTCTCCATTCGCTGTTCTCCTGTTGCAGGTGTGTGCGATGTTTTCCCTTTCCTACTAATAATTTAGCCGTTCTCAAGAAGCGCCTAACGGAAAAAGCGATGCATTTGCATTAGTTTTCAATGGCTACGTGTATCAAAACCCCGTTCAGATTATACAGGAATCATAGAAAACCGGAAACATCAGAAATTGAAGGTTGATATACTTACCCATGCCATCAAACCAAATATGTACATCGAATGATACTGAAACAAAGGTACGGATGCAAAGGCTGTGGATTACAAGGGACATAAAAAGAATCCAAATACTGTCTGTCTTCTGAACGCAAGATTACGATTCATGGGCAAGAAGAAACGATGATCAGAAAAGTGTCTGACAGATGATGAGAGAAATGAGAAGGAAACAGAATTCTTAGAGTCGTGTAACATGTCACATCCTGAGAAATCCGGCAAAAATGCTGCCACTCTGGTACAAATCGCAACTGCCAATCATCTGAAAGAGGGCAATATTTTAATTCTTTCTTTCAAAGGAATTCAGGGCACTAACCATTTGGCAACCAATGGGTTAATGAAAAACCCAATACAAGCATAGAGTGAAAAAATGTTTAAGACAGGCTGGTTAGAAGTTTTGTAAGGTGTTGAAAGAATATGATAGCCAAAAAGTTTCACATTTTGTTCGCAGGCTTTTGACTTTTTAGGCCTGTACCTGCTACATCAAGAATCTGAGGTTAGAATCTGTGCTGAATATGCAAAAAAAGGATGGAAAGTGTGAACCCATTGTTCTGTCAACTTGCACCATTTTTGGAATCTTCTTTTCAGAAAACTAATGATGCGTCGCTACTGTTTCTGTGCCATCAGTCACGGTTGACTGATGTTTAGACTTTTACCTACAGTCCGGTGACCACCGTAAAGTGTCAGCTATTTCGTTCCCACGCAGTGGTATTAATCTATTTACATAAATCGCAAAGACGAAAGGCGGTGTGTCGGCCGAGGACAGAACCCAGAACGTGTGGGCTCTCAGCCCGGAGCTGTACCGATGAGCAACCGTGGTTTGGATATGCAAAGCACATAAGTCACCGTACCCTGGCAAAACACTAGTTAGCATAAAAGTTTGCAAGTTCACCTTTTCCACGCCATCGGAACTGAATACTTTCAATTCACCGGAAGTAACGCATGTCACAATGTCTCTGAAAAGAAAATTCAGTTAAAGACGGTGTAGAAAACAGATTCCCGATTATTATACTTATTCAGTAGGCCGACGCCATTAATTTCACCGGATCCGCCTTCACACGTGAACAGCGTCTCGTATGTCCCTTTTGCACAGTCGTACACCTTCACTTGACGATTCGCCAAGCAACACAACAAACTCGTCTGGTCGTCGTTTCTCCAACACATGCACTCGATTTTCTTTTCCGTATTCAACCGCTCAGCATGGTTAGCGTTTTGGAAGGTGTCGTTCAAAAAATTCACCACTACAGTAAATAAACAACAGATACAGGAAATTGCATTCGAAAAAAGAACAGACGGCGACATGAGGAATGAATGATAGATACGTTACTTAAAAGTGAAATCATAAATAAGGATCGAATTACGTTATCAACCCAGAGAGAGAATATTATAATGTGCACTGCGGCGCAAATGTACAAATACAACTTCTGAAGCTCACGTTGATACTCTGGACCGATATGACAGATGTCCATTCGGTCGAAACCTTGGGGCATTGATAAATAACGATATTTTTAGCTTTTTCGTGCAGGCAACTATGCCACCAGAAGATCCACCTCCTTAAAGTACCTGTGGACTCAATTTACAACAGTAATAACTTCATCTGATCGTAAAGCTATACCATCGACTCAATGTCGTAATGCTGATTACGCAATGTAAAAAGTATCGGCAGTCAAGCGAATCTCTCTTTGCTCTGGTGCTTCCAATCCAGTGAACAGTTTTTCATTCGTAAGCTGGAGCAAAACTTACCTTTCAGTGCGCCGATCTCTGAGCCAACAAATGCGTTCGCCATCGCTACGATTTGTCCAGTAAGAGGGCCAAACAAGTAACAGAACGGCTCTCAACAATTGGCATAGTTACGAACGCAATGCCTAGGAACGCTTTCTGACCAGAACACGATTAGCTCCGTGATGCTTCAGATATTTGGGCCTAAAAAATTGATACATATATCAAAGAAAAAAATTTTATCGCAAGCAAACAGCATCGATTTTTATGTAGACACCAATCTAGCAGGTTGGTAAAGTAATGCTCAGTCTCTCCAATATTCTTTTGAGAAGACACCAGAACAAAATAACAGTGAATTGGTGTTCGACACATAAAGCAAAGATGACAATATGAAAATTTACAGAATAAATGGAGAGAGAGAGAAATCAAAGACGATTAAAAGAATAACCTCTTTAATGCAACTACTTATCACTGACGTTAACTGCAGAAAATCTCTTAAGGCAAAAACTCAAGAGAAAAATCTGCTTGCTCAATCCTTTCGATCAAATATCCAACGCAACATGATAGAGGTAAAACAATGACCAGTTTTAATTACAACTATTCATAATTACAACTATTACCTATTGAAGAATCTTCACCAGTTCAGCGGATGAAGGTATTTGACCTAAAACAAAAGTTAAGGAGCTGATAATGAAAATCTTCCATGCTTCTCAAAATGTGAACCTGTCACAAGGCCAATAACTAAGGAACCTCTAGAGAGTAGTGGATAAAATGAAATCGAATTTCTCCCACTGGACGGAAATTTATATTAAGGAGGTAGGACCACTTACGCGTGTATCTCTTACGTGGCAGTGAAACCAAACTAGCAAACTAGGCAAAAGATAAAAGATAACAATTAAAAGAATGCTTTTATAAAAGAATCTGATACATTTACAAAAATTTCATGGGCAAATGATACATCGAATGATGCAGTATATCACCAGCCAAACAACTAGAAACGGCGCCGCACGGCTTCCTACAGTATCACAGGGAAGCTTAAGTGATGTCATAACGAAACCAATCAAACGAATCTTTTGATAAAAAAATGAAGTTGATAACGAGCGGTTCGGCAATCTGAATAAGTGATGTGAAAAACAACGACATCAATTTTGATTTCCGTCGTCCACTCTTTTCACTTTCTTGTTATACAGTAATATCTTCTTCGAGATTGAAAATAAAAGCCTAAAACAATGCTCGAGGGGTTCCAGGCACGCATTGCTACTAAGAGGATGGTTGTGGAAGTTACTGCGGCCGAAAAGCAGGCATTTATAGAAGAATTCCTAAATATATATAGTTAATAAACGTTTCAGTACAGCGCAAGAGTTCCATGTGTGGAAGATGACTGTGTTTTCAAAGGCAACGTGGTTTTCAACGTGGAAATAGAGCATCAAACCTTTAATTACGAATCATTCCGTAGAGGTAATTAGAAGATACTGAAATGCCGAGTTTTGTTCGAATAATCAGTATCTTTTTAAAATGTTCATAATTAAATATTCATGAATTGTTCGCAGATGTGTGAATTTCCAAAAAATAAAGAAATACAGAAGAATTATTTTGTTCAATGTCCGTAATACCTTTTAAATTACTAGACATTCTTCAAAAGAAATTTCAAGGAAAGCTAGACACTGTCTGTTTTAATGAAAGCTTGCAATATCATTTTATTTAAGTGCGTCTTTTCAATTTATAATTAAACAGTTTAGTTCGGATTCAAAGAGTATGCAACCAATGTTAAATCAGAAGCAAGGTCGGTAACGATCTCACGTCTCGGAGTGGCAGGCCACCTTTGAGAAGATTCACACTTGAATTAATTTCCCTCCTGTTTGTAGATGAATATTCTCCTTTGGGGAAAAAGCCGTGTTCTAATACTCATGCTTGTTAGAACGATTTGCATTTACTGTAAAATAGCGACAGTATAATAAAGAGCATGCAATGGGAAAGGTGAAATAAAATACCATGCATTTATTCATACCGTAATTATTCAATAGTGAAAATACGCGGTATGACTTAATTTCTTCCTGCTTTTTGTTTGACTCATCGTAGCTGCTTCCAAAATCTCTGTTTTTTAACATCTGGCTTCCGTACAGAAGATAGTTCCTGCCTTGATTCTGTGCAATGCGCTGGTCAGCCAGGGTACAGTTTTTCTCTTTGCACTGCTGAGACAATGTATTTATTCCCTTTCTTCAGTTTCCTACACGTTTCTCTGATGCGGCTGTCTTCGCAGAGCTGTTTATCTCGTGTAATATTTAAACATCCTCTTCTTTTGCATGATGTAGTTCTTGTGCTAAAGAACATGAAGCTTCTTTTTAGATCTGTATACCTTAATTACTCCATACATAGTCATGAAACTTTCGGTTTTTTTACCTAGGTTCTTTTGCAAATAAAAACAAGAAAGGAGCGGTTATGAGGGATCTAACTTGGTTGTTTCCAGAGAATTTCGGATCTTGTTTTGTTTCCAGTGCACTTTTTTGAACTATTAGAGGATGAAAGTGTTCGAATCCACATTTTTCTCCAACTTAGGAATAAGGTAGCAGCTCTACTGCTGAAGCAAAGAAATTTTGCTACACCGCTTTATGTTCTACACGTATAATGTATGAACGAGTTCCGTTTTTCTGGGACTGGGAGTACGATGAATGGAAGTCGACAGCGTTCGATTAGATGAGTTTCTCATATACAGCAATGCTTACTGTTCCGTCCCTTTGTACATAAAGGAACGAGTAGGAAAGTTTTGCCCTCCTCTGGTTCGTAGGTAAGCTGAATATTTTGATGGAGGAGGCTTAGAAATTAAAGAAATATGTAATGTCACTCTTGCTCGTTAAGACCACCTATCGTCCTCGTGATTCCAGATGTATTTCTTCGAGTCACTATATGTGGGTATCCACCACGATGGTAGATACTCGTGATCTTACGGTGCTGCCAGTCTGTGTGATGAACATTTTTCCAACTGCTATGGTTTTGGTTGAGTCAAAATGGATGTATGTAGCTACAAGAAAATGTTCTCCTGTCCAGCCAATTAGACAAGCGTGCGGTTAGGGGTCGTTACCCTGTGCAAAATGATTATTCTAGGTTCTCTTAGAGTCTATTTAGCCAGTGGCAAAATCACTACACTCTATATTCAAAATTATTGAAATTTTTCAATCGCCACGACTGCTTAACTGCTCCAGAATGGTACTTCGGCGTGTACCGTACCAGCACCTCATAAATTTGGACCTCTCAACTTTAAGATTAAGTTCAAATGTTGCAGCTAGTTTCGGGGGTAAAATTACTCGATTCTCCTGCGGCTCACCTAATACTATCATCTGCATTCTGTAGTCAACAAATTGCCCAGACACACTCCAATAACTGTGTTTCTGTTTCCAAATGAGACCTTTGACTTTTTCCATTATGAAATAGAATAGTTACACGTTCGTGTAGAACTCCAGAGTTTACATGGAATGCTTTTCCCAGAGAACTCACGGAATGGCTCTCTTTTTACTTTAGCTGCCCACCTCTTTAGAAAATAAATGAATCATTCAGGTATTTTAAAGGATTTTTAGTTGCATCAGTCATCGGACGACATAGAAATATATTTGTTTATTGAAATGAGAGCTGTTTTAAGGTGGATGAAGGTTGAAGAGCAAGATAACTTAATTTTATATTAAAAAGTTCCGTTTGCATTATCTACATTTTAGTCAGTTATAAGGTGGACCTACGACAAAGGCAGTCGTAAAGGGTACGTTTCGCACACCATGTCTGTATTTCTTGGACACTTTGCCAGAGACTACATTACAGCATCGTTTAATTTCCCTAATTCGTAGATAAACATCTTGCTACCAGTTTTAACGCCTGTTGCACCAAATGACAGTGTGTAAATTCATTGCTCAAGTGAATTGGCTCTTAATTGGAGGATTCATACAGGGAGTTGCGTTACTACCTGCACACTAATGTACCACACAGCTCATCTACCTACGCCATTGTCTCTGCTCCATTACTAGAATCTTAGGTGCTGCTCATCCATTCTACATGCAAAATGCAGCAAGAATGAATAACTTATCCAAAAGCCTGCCTAAAATTGAAGATGCTTTTTACGAAATGGTTGTTTTGTTTGTAGCGCATTCATGACAAACGTTTTTCACGAAGTGAGAGCAAGGCAGTATCACAATTGTCGAAAGATTCGTCTCCGTGGTATTGACCAGATTTTCATTCTATTGTGAAACTTCATGGAACTATATTTGAATAAAAGTGGGATAGTGCTTTTGAATTATTTCCATGTTTTCATATTTTGTTAACGCCATTGGGATTCGATCCAAATTACAGACCCTATTCACTCGAAGATGCTTGTTTTTACTCTTGTATGTAAGACCGCGCTGAGGTCCGCTGCAGTCGGCTATAGCAGCGGACTGCTGAACACCCCAGTATAGCATACTCCAAGTATGGCTTACTGCAACTTGAAGTATGTAGGCCTGCACTGAAATCTCCTGATTGCAGAAAATAAGATGCCGACTAAAATTAGTGGTGCAGAGCGAAGAGTTGCAGGACAGTCCTCAGCACTCTATTGTACGTTCCCATCTCCCTGACAATAGTTCACTCTTGCCATTCTAAACGAGTATGTCCCGTTCATAGCAGGCAGCTACGTACTCCTTGTAACACTGCTCAAAATTCAGCAT